AAAAAAATGATCAAAACAATAAAATGGGTAACTCAACTAGACTAGAGCCATATGCGGCGAGAAGGCACTCCCACAACACGGATTAAGATTTATATGACCCGGATAAGTTACGAGGGTACGTGTGAGTACAGAAAGCGATAGGGGGAAGAATGACATGTGTTCGTTTGTGTATATACGGATGCGTGATGCAAGGAAGGAACTGAGTACTGGACGAGTTGTCCACTTCTTTTATCACGCGAACAATTTCTCCAGCTTCTCGACCATGCCCGTCTGCATGCGCTTGCACTTTGCGCGACGGTTTTTGAACCAGATCTGGAACAAGGTATCACTTTCCGAGATTTTTCCGAACTTTTGCTCAGAACCTACCTTGACATTATGTTGACTGATATGAGGATAGTTCTCCCGGTAGGGGCAACCGTTCAGCATTTGTGTGTACTGATCGATTTGCATCCACGTCGGATGTGGATTTTCTTCAAACCATTTCTCCAAAATCGGCAACTCCGTCAGCGGATCGAACATCAGACGTGAGCGTGCGGCTAAACAAAATTTTTACAATTTTTAGAAACAAAACTCCAGTGAAGAGTAGCTCCCCACCTTGTGAGCCTATTCCCATACCTCCAAGGTTATTTCCTATTGATAAATCGTTTTGAATGTGCTTTGGAGAAGAGCTCGCTATAGAATTGATAAGAGACAGATCAGGAGAAGAGGCGGTGGATTCCTGGTATGCCTATTATTGAAAATATTGACAGTAACTGAAAGAAGATTGCGACCCAAACACATCTAAGGAACGTGTAGCTGGCTTAACTTCAACATTTCGTAGCAATAATTTTAGTTGAGCTGCTACCCTCCACAATGTTGATACAAATTTATCAGGATAAAGAAGAAAGCGACAGCTTTTGAAAAATTAATTGGAGAAGTTTCACAATTATGCGAAGACGTTACTTCCGCTCCAAAAATCACATTCACAAGATGCATTCGACAACCGATCGTCCTGGGTCCAACCGGGGATTCCGGAATACGAAGGAACCATATGCCCTTCCATTATCTCCGACGATCGCAAACCCCGGGGATCCATGTGAGCAAAGCTAATCCTATTACCAGATTGATCTATGCGCTGTAGATGTCAATGAATTCGAAATTTTAACTCCTGTAGGTGTGGCTTTCAACTACAAAGTGATACGGATATGCAAGTTTGGTATGGAAAGAAAGATCTCACTGCTACTTTTAAGCGGATGCGAAATCGAGCACAAAACAATTAGTATGTTGTTTTTCGTATTCTATTTATCCAAATTCTGAGTTCCTGCAAAGCGAAAGCAAAAGTTAGGAAGCGAC